GGCCGAGTGCTGGTCCTGGGTGAGCTGCTCCAGCTCCGAGAGCGGAATCTCCCGGCCACACTCGTCCAGCATCGCCTGCAGGATCTCCTTGCGCTTGCGCCACTCGCGCTTCGTTTGCCGCAGGATATCTGCAAATCAGATCGCCTTAAAATTTGCCATTTTCGCATTGATATAAGTAAATGGTCAGGTTACTGGCATTTGCAGAGCGGGCATGCTTCAAGCAGTAACTACTGCAGTAGTCACTGAAGTGATCGTAGTTCAACCAGAGTCCCCGTAGAGCTGAACTCTGCAAGTGAACCGTGGGCGGCAGTGAGATTTGCATTTCGATGGTGGGAAAGTCGATCTCGTTGTGCGCAGACTGTTCGCCAATTCGCGCTTTTGGGTTAAGAGCTCTGGGAAGCATAAGTCACATGAATATAAGTTTGATATGCTCTCAGCCTTAGATTACATTTGAGCATCCTTCGAGAAGGTCCACACGAAGCTCTGAAATACATCCGAGCTGTAAATGTGCTTGGACACACCAGGTCTGTCGATTCTGCAGGATGACAATGATGTTTTTGTGTGAATTGGAGGAGCTGGAATGTTGTAGGTCACTAGGAGAAACTTACTCCATATCCCGCTCGATATGCGACATGGTCTTGTAGGTGAACTCGTCCAGATGTTGCTTGAGGAACACCCTCATTTCGGTCTTGAGCTTCACCAGATCGGCGGCAATAAGGACGGATTTCTGTTTGAACGGCAGCATGTCGTCCAGCTCGTTGAGGATCTGAGATATGTGTCACCATTGTAAATGTTAAGTAGCCTGCCCAAATGAAAGTGTTACCCCCAAAACCTCCTTAATCCGCTGGGCGTAGACATCGCCCAATCTGCCCTGCTGTTGGCGCAGTGAAATCCTCGTGAGATCCGGCACCTGGGCATCCTGGGTCAGCAGTGTACGCTCATCGGTGCGGAGCAGCCAGTTCCGGGACTCCAGATGCCGCTTGGCGATATCCGTGTGCCACTGGTGGATGTACTTCCGCAAGTCACTTGGACTGGCCGCATTTGGCAAGCCATTGCAGCGCATAAACTTCTCCCAGTCCCGCTCGTGCCGCTCCCCATCCTTGATGGCCTCGATGGCCGTTCGCACCGCGTCGAAGAAGAGCATGCTGTCCTTGAGCTGGGCCCTCCTCTGGCGATTCTCCGCCACCTCCTGCTGCTGGCGGTGTTTCGCCTGCTCCATCTCCAGCTTCTTCCGCTGACGCGCCTCCTCCAGCTTCTTGAGTCTGCAAGGGATTGGGTTTCCACCAGGGCGTGGCGTTAGTTATTGGAAAGGTTTGGCAAATTCAAGGGGTAATTACAATAAAACCTGGATATTGCCTTAGTAGTTCGTCTGCTTGGATAAAAAGAGTACTTACTTCTCCTTCTCCATCTCAATCCGCATGAGCTCCGCCTGCTCGGCCTCCAGGCGGGCCTTTTCCTTCTTCGAGAGCTTCTTCTTGGGCGGCTGTTGTTGGGAAAATGTGCACCGTCGTCAGCATTATGGTAATTAGCATCTTTATCTTCATCTTCATCAGCACTAAGCTGGGCTTTTGACCTGTGGCCTACCATCTTGTTCCGAGCAGTCCTCCGGTGGAAGTGGATGTGGACATGGATACCTATGCCAGGCCGTGGTGGCTATTGATCCAACACGATTGAGTCCTGGCAACCTGAGCGTCGTTTTCATTTTATTTTTTGTCGCTTGTTTCTTTCGCCAGCTGCCCGGGCAACTCTGTTGGCAATCCTTTTTGGCCCGCCATAATTTCCCTAATTAAATATTCAACGCGCAGCTTAGCTCGTTGGCCAAAAATGTTTACCGAAAGTCCCCCGTCAAGTTGCGCGTGGCAGGAAACTATTCCCCGGTGGGAAATGTCGGGTGACACGCCGGACTCTCCAAGGACGAGGTTGGGTTTCTTGGCTGGCTAGCTGAGTAGATGGCTATGGGAATTGCATATTCCGGATTCCGGATTCGGATTCGGATTACGGCCGAGGTGAGAAGACACCGATGCCACGGGGACTTTGGGGAGTTCCAACAGAAATCGCAGTAATCAGTTGGGTCAAAGTACGAGTACGTATATGAAATCAGCGGAGTTTAGATTAAGTAGCTGCTATTAATTTATGTGCGATACAAAATCTGATTAATCAGGCATGGGTATTAATAAATGGGTTTAAATATTTTTATTAATGGGGAAAATATTTCGCATTTATTCGTTTCGCAGAGTTGACATGAAAGTCAACTTATCCGTTAATATGCAGTTAATTGAGGTAAGCGTTAAGCGCTTTCCGATTGAACTTTGCCAACTTTCACCATATTTACTTCCTTCCATCGTCGAGTTTTTATTTTTCACTTGCCGCCAAAGTTTTTCCCATGCGAGTCCTTGTCTTTGGTCCTTCTTCTTTCTGGGGGCGGTGAGAAAAAGCCCAGACGGCTTTTATTTTTGCCCAGGTGTCAAGCAGACAACGTCGCTTAATTATCAGCCTATTTAAATTCAGAACCGGGCCCTCTGCTTTCCTGGCTAATTGCAGACCCACCTTTGGCTTATCAAATTAATAGCAGGTGCAGAAAGAGGGTCGCCTATGTAGTAATGGGTTCTGGTAGCTGTTTTGCAGGTGGGAATCAAAGTCGTTCAGGATGAGGATCATTCAGTAAGATCGTATGGGCTATCTGATGATAATTACACATAATATCAATTATGTGTGCAATATTTTCATATTAAGCTATATATTTAGGTTAACTAAAGTATTTCGTTTTCGGAAGTGTATAGGTAACTGCATTAAATGCCCTTTAATTGCCACTTTTCCTTCATTCCAACTCTCTTTTCGGTTTTCCCTCTACCGGCTCACTCGGTTCGCCAATTTTTTATTCCCTTTGTTAGTTATTTATTGCACTTGCCCGACGAGAGTACGAGTATTGGGCTGGGCAGCCACAGGACATGCCTTATAAAGAGGTCCTTTGGCCGCTACTTGGTATACCCCAGACCGACCCTGTCCTCCAGTTCGACCAGGTGCTGTTGCTCATAATGCGATATAATGCTTGTGTAAATAATGCAGAGTGTGGGGCATTGGTTGGTTGGCATGACAATATATATTTCATAGAGACTGAAGCGTAATTAGTTTAAATTGCTCGTGGGGCAGCAAGTGCAGTGGCCAAATGGAAAGTGGAGAGTGGAAAATGGGATGTGGGAAATGGGAAATTTTATTGGGGGGAATCGTGCCATGGTGGGACTCATGGCAGATGCACAATAAAAATTTATCATACGCACCGTTGACGTTGACAGATCGCCGGGCTGATGCGTTGCAAGTTGCCTGGCTACAGGCGACAGTCGACAGGCGACAAACTGCAACAAAAGCGATAAAAAAGAAGATGCACAGGCAAGGGCTTTAGAATCCGCAGCTCATCCTTCATCTCCATCTCCATCTCCGTCTCCATCTGGCTGCATCCTTTCCATCTCCTGGAGCTGAAGCTGTGAGTCCTGAATGCCGCACGCTCGAGTGAACTTTGCAATCTGACAAAATCGGTGAATGGCGAACGCTTAAATGCCCCGTGTTGCAGGCGCACAAGCTGCACATGAAACTGCCGCACAACCGGAAGCTGCAGTCTGAGTTGCCTTTGTTTAACCCATGATGGCCACCATGACTTTGTGTGCGATTATTCTTTTGCTCCTCGGGCGTGAAAGGCGTTTCTGAATGCCAAATTGCTAACAAACCGAATCACAGTTGCGAATTAGCATTTAGCTGCAAAGTGCTAGTTGTCAAGTAAACTTTTAAGGGAATTTGGGCTTTTTAGGCCTGGGAGCTGATTAAGTGGATGTTTTCTATGAAAGTGCGCTAGTTTGACAAAAAGATACGAATTAAGTGTCTCAAGGAACAGAGAAACAAGGAATTAAATCAATGTTGTTGCATACTTTTAGATACATTTAAGACACCTTTAAGAGGAAAATTGTACAATTGTTTTTTGAACATTTTATCCTTCTTTTAATTACTCTCCATGTATATGCAATTATCTCTGCAAAGGTTGAAACTATAAAACAACTGTCACACAGCTTTACTTGTTATATTTGTCAGTTACAACAATAAATCCATTTAGTGAGTATCTCACAGCGGTATACTCGATTTTTGCGCTCTTGGTTGTCGATTTTATAATTATGTATTCTGAGGTTATAACTGGTGTCCAGCTGGGCGGGAATGAGTTTGCTAACAGCACAGCCAGACGTCGTTTGTTGGATGGAAATGGATGTGGATGTGGATGTGGCAGAGGATGAAGATGGTGGTGATGGTGATGGTGATGACGATGGAGAGTGTGATCCGAGGTGGAATGGTTTCTTAATGTGCTCGATGCGACGCTGATGGCATTGCAAATGTGCACACGCTCGAGTCCCCAAAATGGTGGTTGTGTGTGTGTATTTCAGTGATTGGGGAAGTGTGTGTCCGTGTGTGTGCGTGTGTGTGTGGGTGCGTGTGTGTGTGAGAGTGTGGTGCCTGAGAGTACTTAGCCACTGACAGAATCGGACAACTCCTCGCACTCCTGCCACTTGCTGCTGTCAGATTTTCAGTGGGGGGAGTGGAAATTACTATACTCCCCGCCCCGTTTCCCCTTTTCGAAGATTGAAAATGGCAAATATATTGAGACATTCCCATAAGCTAAATGGTGATTCCCATTTGAAGCTGATCCAAGTCGTTGACATAATTGAACCGATGGAGAGCTTTGTTTTTGGCTTCTTGGGTGCTCAATGGGTAGCATATGCAAATGGGGTGGCTTTGTATGCAGCTAGTATAAATTATGAAATTATAAATATGAAATTATTTACCTGGGCACAAGTGCAATTTGGTTCGCCTGCACAAAGTCAGCAGCACATGTTAATAAAATTTAGGAGGGACTAAAAAGGATATGATATGATCAAAACTATTCATTGTGTTAATTGTTATAATTGTAATTATAATTCAATTATATCTAATTATGCTTTCTATTTATGTAATATTTCCAGCTGCCCGTGCACGTAATTCTTCATATCGTCGTTTAATCGCCTTCCTGCCCTTTGCACTATATATCAGCAACAACTACAACTAAAAATTCAAACAAAAAGCAATCGTAAAAAGCAAATAATAAAAGTAAATGTCGTAATTGGAACAAATGTTGTACATACCTGCGGATAAATTGTAAATACATTTAGCGATACTGCGAAATACCCGAAATATGTCGATACAAGCTATAGCGATTAGGCTTTTTCAAAATCCATTTCATGCTCACTTTAACATAAAGCCATGTTTTGGCTTCCAGAATTGATTAAATAACTTAACTAGCTTCCATTAAAGTAAAGAGTTTCGGGTATTTAATAGTCGATATACTCGACTATCAATAATCCTAAATTATATCAATAATCGGACATTTTCATTCGTTAGAACCTTTGGCCAGCAAAATTTAGCTAGAAGACAAAATATACAAGAAGAGGAATTTTTGCATACTAAATTTAATGAACCTGTACGGAAATTGCAAAAAAGCAAGAAAGGACACACAAAGCAGAGACCCAACAATAATTAGCATTAAAAATTGGTTAACAAGCAGAAGACCCAGAAAAATCGAAGTAAAAGGATTAGTTGTACGCCCATTGTGATTATTAATTTTAGACATAGGCCAAGAAACCAACAGCAATTCGAAGGGAATCGTTGCACTCAAAAATAACAGCAGCACAACACGACCAAAAAGCAAAGCAAAAGCACGAGAGCGAGAGCGAAGCAAAGCAAAAGCACGAAGCAACATTAGCCGCCCAAAGAAACTTGAAAGCATTAGCCGAAAACTCTTAGTTCAATTCCATCCAACAACCAAATCCAAACTCTCGGCTATGACAAATGTGAGGCGTTCAAACTAAAAACAAAAAACATAAAAATAAAAACCTATTGATGCGGCTGCCAAACCCAGCAACAACTCAGTTTCAACTCTTGCCCTGAAGCATCTGTCCTCTATATATATATTGGTTAAGTATATATACATCTGATCTGAAGTTCCAAGTCGCGAGTGCGTTTCCGTTTCCGTATCCGCATCCACTTACGTTTCGGTTTCGTTGGAAAGCTAGTGCGGCTACTGCTGCCACTGCCACAGTTTCTTCGATCGGAACCGGATTCGGGAAACAGCCGCCAAGATGACCATGTGGCAGAGTGGCGGCATGGGAGGCCATGGCTCCCAGAACAATCCATGGATGAAGCTGATGGGCATCGTTCACAAGGAGCGGCGCCACACGGAGAACGTCCAGAGTCAGTCTGGTTCCAACGAGCGCAACCTGAACCAGTGAGTATTGCATATACTTTATAAAAAAAAATATATATGTTCTTAAGGACAGGAACTAGATTCATTTTTTGTGAAGAAAGAATTATGTGCAAGCAACTAGTGGGCTTCATTCCCTTTCCTTGGTGCTCGATAAGCCTAATTTTGCATAGTTTTGCGAGTGAATCAGGGCTTTAATGGCTTTGCAACAAGGATATTCGACGCTGCTTGCGCAGAAAAGTATGCGGCATTTTCCCCCCTTTTTTATTGCCCTCCTACTTTCGGATGTCGAATGTGGATGCCATGTTATGCATATTGGTCGTAAAACATGCGCCAACTGCGCAATTAAATGGCCCGCAATGCAAATGGAATGCCAAGGACCAGCGCCAGGAGCAGGAGAGCAGGACATATTGCCAGGACACAAAGTGTGCAGCTCAAGGCGGCTTTCGGCGGGCAGGGAGGTCGTGGAGAGTCATTTACCACAAATCAACGCTGCCAACTGCCGGCTTCTCCCTCTTTTTTTTTGTTGTATCCAAGTGATGCGCTCTGTAAATGATATATCCAAACGGGCGGTGGCCAGCTATCATTACCCGCCCATCAGTGGCCACCAGTGGCCAGCAGTGGCCAGCAGTGGCCAGCAGTGGCCAGCAGTAGCGACTAGTGACCACCAGTTTCGGAAAGTGCAGCCCTCTGGGCTTTTAAATTGGCTATAAATGCGCTGGAGCATAAATGGATTTACACACATGCAGCTTGTTGCTGTCCCCATTTGCCCACCTTCGCCATCATTCATTTCCATTCCATGTTGCATGCAAATACGAGCCACTGCATCGACACGCCCCCATTTTCCGACACCATCACCGCCCCCGCCGATCCGAGTCCGCATTTCGCATCCACTTCCCGCACTTTTCACCAAGGAGTCCTTATAAAAATTGTACAACTCGCCATGTGCACACATGTGTATTTGTATTCATATGCACTTGTGTGCGAGTGCGAAGGAAGTTAAATGGAAAAGGCACTTCCGGAATTCAGATGAGCGAAGCGGATGCCATATAGATTGAAAGATGGATCGAAGGAGCGAAGAGCGGCAATCTGATTACTCGGCGGTGGCTGAAACTTGCCTCACGAGCCACAAAGTATATTTGATTTTTGCCAGCCTTGATGGAATTTCTGGCTGCAGGCAAATAGAGAACTAAATTGCGAAATTCGTGCATAGAAACGCAAGTTTTGGAATATCAAGCCACTAAATTGGGTAAACTATTAAGTTGAGGCAACAGAAGTACCATTTTGATTCATTAAGGCTGAGTATACTTTGTGCAATGCTTAAATGTCGCCAATTGATATTGCAATATACCAAATGCCCGTGCTTGCACTAATTATAATTATTTTCAATTTTCCGAGTGCAAAAGTTGCGTTGTTGGGCACCACTAAACTTTTCTATTGCCGCACAGGACGCGATGGAGTCCTTTTGCCATCGCAAGCGTTCCCAAAACTTCGCTCGAGCGGATTAATTGAACTAGTTCCCCAATTTGCCAACTAATGTGCTTGCTGGAATCCGACCATTCTGCATCCTGCATCCTGCGAACTGCGGCTGCGACCTGCATCCTGCGCTTTTCCATGGGGTATCATAAATTTACGCCCACCACCCACATGCACATGCATGTGCACATGCACTGGCACACAATGGAAAGCACTTCAAAATGAAAGGATAATAATAATATTTTTATTTTATTATATTTTAGTTTTTCTTTTCCGCTTTTTGTTGCAACTACAGCAGCAGCATCAACATATGAGAGGGTGGCTCATGGGGGTCAGAGGTCGGGGGCTAGTGGGCGGTGGGCGGTGGGCCAGTGGGCGGGGCAGGGCTTAAGTGCACTCAAGTGCCATTGGGGGTGTGTGTGTTGGTAAATTGCAACTGTAACTGTGTGCTGGCGTGCAAGTGTTGGAAAGTGCTTGCAAACTGTGCAATGATTTCGGGATTTCGCCGGATTACTTTCGCCCAAGTATTTCGCAATTTATGTCCAACTCGTTCGCATTCTCATTTCGCTCTTTTGCCCTTTTGCTCTTCGCCCTTTTACTTTCTCCCTTCCCTTCCCTTCCCTTTCTCCGTTCATCTTTCCTTTCCAATTTCCTTTTCTGCTTTACCTTGCACTTGTGTTCGACCCTCGACAAAAGTTGTGAATTATTTTATTACCTTCCAAATGAATTTGAAATTGTTCATATTTTTAAGTGGCATGTTTGAGTAGCATTGAATATCAAATGGAATTTTATAGAAAACAAATAAAAAGGCACTCGCAATACTGAAGTAGCCCACACATTGATGTTTTATCTTAAGCTCCTTTGATAGATTTCACAGATTTATACCATTTTGTATATATTTCGTGCTGGAATTTCTATTCTGATGTTTTGCTCAAAAATAATCGGTATTTTGTTTGCAACAATGGGAACGGTTCATATATGGAATGTGGTAAACTTAAAAATTCAAAATGTGATCGATGGCAGGATAGTTAAATAGATTGTTATAGTTATAAGGTTATAAGGATAGTTATAGATTGCACCTCAAATAATAAAAATTGTCAAGTAAGAGGGTATCTGATAAGCGAGCCACTCGACTACGGCGTTCCCTGCTGACTTGTCTTGTTCTGGGGATAGAAAATAACAATTATATAGGGCGTTCATGCATAAATAAATGTATTGCGAAGGTCACAGATGCCAAGATGAAAGGGTTACGGAGGCGTGGCAGCAGCCTTGTTTTTTGCAAACCAAATGTTGTTTGCTATTTTACCTACATACATTCATCGTTTTCCCCATCTTCTTGGGACCACCGAGCAACAGTTGAACATTTGGAAATTTGCATAAATTTCACAACACAGCCCCTGGCCTTCTCCACGGCAAACTTTGTGGGAATTTATAGAAATGTGCACGATACAGTTTCCATTTGCCTGGGCAGTCGGGCTCTTTGTTGCCCTTCAAAGGCATTTGGGTCCAACATGTTCAAATGAATACTTTATAAGCCCCTCTTTATGGCCATAGCCCTGTCTCTCCCCCTCTCTCTCCCTCTCTCTATCGCTGTCTCTTGCTCTGCTGCTGTCTCTGTCATGGGCTGTCTCTGTCACCGCCTCCCTTTCATTTTCGCCCTGCCAATGTGTAATATTTATGCTGCGAAATGTTTGAAGTTGACGAAACCATCGGCGTAGTTGTAATATTTAACGCCAACTCAGTGGTATTTACACTCAAAAAAATACGAAAAAAAGATTTTGGAATAAGTTGACTGCTGAACTGAGAGACCTGATGTACAAAATTAATATTATTAGTAATAAAATGCTCCAGTTCTTTAGTTTACGTGCCATTGCATTTACCACATTGAGTATTATTACTTATTCACGAGGACAAATTGTTTTTCTCAGTGCTTGTCATTCCACTGGGCGCCATTATCTCCCCCTTTTGCCCATCATCATGGGCGTCCGAGCTATTTTGCATTGAAATTGAAATGTCCGCTGCTTTTGTGGGGTGCGTCCGCTTTTTGCCAGGTGAAAGGCATCCGACCAACTGGGCCAAAATAAGTACATTATATTTGCTATATGTATTTTGCCCATGTATGTATGTACATACGTATGTTTATAGGCGGCGAATATGTGTGTTGGAACTCGCATCCCTATATCCTGATCATTTTGTTAGGCGCGGCAAATTAATTGAAAATTCAAACATATTGACCTACATAAATACGTGGATAAAGTGCAAGTCCAGTCGGCCATTTGATTACTCCGGCTAAGTTGTTGCTATGAATTTGTCAATGTCAGAGGTGGTATCTGGCCTACAGGGTGCTATACATGAACATATATCCTGCGGTAATTAAGAGATAATAATGTTTATCTTTGGAAACATCGGTTTTGGTGGGATCAGTGATGTTCTGTTAGTAAGCTACTAAAACGGATGGAAAACTAACTAATTTAAATCTTTTAATAGGCAAAGAAAGCATTCTTCATCACTTGTACGAGCTGAAAATAAAGTTTAGACCTTTCGCCTGTGGCACCCTGTCACCATTTGTTGTTCCTGTCATCGATTTCGCATCGCATGAGAGTCGTTAGTTAGTTACTTAAACCAGCCCAAGACTGTCTGAATTTCCTTTTTCCCAGCCCATTAACCCATTAATTATTTGTGCCGAAAAATCGCTCGCTGGTGTATTAGTTTATTTGTCTGGGAAATGTTTTTATCAGTTCTAATTCGTCGGTATATGTTCAAAGCTAATAATATTTACTTTATTTATTATGTGCAAGCTTATAAACTTCGAATTAAATTGAAAACAATATCTGATTAATTCGTATTAAATATACTGTATTTTAAGTTATTCTTTGAATAGGAATGTGTATATTTGCTTAACTCATGTTTTGCCTAATTAGCTGAACATAGATAGCAGAGCTAAAAGCTAAGTCTTTTTTATAGGTTTAATTATAACAATATTTGTTTTGTCAAGTTGGCAAGTTTTGCCCCGGAATTTGTAGCAAATTCGTAGACAAGCCCCTTTTAAGCCAGCCCCATAGCAACGTAATAAATTTTCGTGGGCTTGTCATGGGTTAACACCGCTCGTCCCACTCCCCCCCCGCTCCTCAACACTCTAGCAGCGCCATCCTCAAATCGCCGATGGCGTCTTCGCCTTCTGTCTAATTGCTGGCCATTCGTTTGGGCCACGTTACTTGGCCAGCCGACGCTTATCAGCGCCTTTCACTGGAAGCCGACTTATTGCCACACCCACGTAGCGAAAATTGCGACCCATTTGTTAGACGGGTTCTGGCAAATCATTTTTCATTTGCCTGTGGAAACTCGCAGCACTTTGTCTGCCACCTGGCCAGGTGGGTGGCTTCCGCCCCCAACTCCCCCTTGCTTTTTTTTCTCCACGGTTGCTTGTCCTATTGAACTTTACTCAGGCGAAATTAATGAGCGCATAGGGGCATAAGACTGCCCATTTCCACCGGTCAACTGGTCAGCGGGTCAGCTGGTAGAGTGAAATGCGAGTCTACTCCCGTGCG